TCTTCTTCAATTTCTTTCTTTAGTGTCGTATAATTTTTCATGTACAGGTCTTTAACATCCTTGGTTAGGTTTATTCCTAGGTATTTTATTCTTTTTGAAGTAATTGTGAAGGGATTGTTTTCTTAATTTTCCTTTCTATTAGTTCATTATTGGCATATAAAAATGCACCTGATTTCTAGATATTAATATTGTATCCTGCTACATTGCTGAATTCATTTATCAGTTTTAGTAGTTTCTTGGTGGAATCTTCAGGGTTCTCTATATATTAAGCATTTTCATAAAGATTTAAAACTCTATACCCTAACCAGTTGCTCATTTGTTGGCCAATTTTGATAAATTTTTATTCACAATAAAAATGTATTGAACACCTACTGTATTCTAATCTTTGGGAAGTAAGGCTGTTGAGATGAAAGCATAGTTTGGGCTTTCAAGGAATTTAGGATCTTTCAGGGGAGCGTTATCTGCAGTTCTGGAACAGTCCCATATGGGGTGATGGGAGTGGCTGCAGCAGAGAGATGGATCAGCTGAATCTCAAGGATCAGAGGAACATTCCTAGGAGGCGCCTTGCAGGCTGCAGGGAAATTGCTCTTGCATTCAGGGAACTGGGAGTAACCGGGTGTGGCTGGAGTGTGAGGTGTGGCAGGAGAGGAGGCTGATCCCTCGAGCAGAACAGGTTTCACCCAGGGCCAGGGCCTGAGCACAGTCAGAGGTTCTCCAGATTTGTCCCAGTCCTGCCACTTCTCTTTGCCCTTCCTAAACATGACTTTTTTAAGGGAGTGGAAATTGTAGGCAGAATCTCTACTGCAGGCTGTCTTTGCGCATTGAGTAGCCAGCATGTCTAACTTCAGTTCCTCCTTTTAACCATCTGTGCCTTAAGATCTCACCCCAAACCTCCCCTTGTTCACAGACCTCTTCCCCTCATGTGAGGGGGCTCCCAGAATGAGCCCTGGCTCACCGTCTCAAAGACTGGCATCACACGGGCCCAAGTGCGTGCAGCAGGCAGACATGGGCGTCGAGGACGTGAAGATGAGGATGATAGTCTGTCCCCACCTAACTCATAGACTGATCAAAGGACTGACAGGCCTCCGCTTCCCAGGCTGTGGCTGTGGACCCAGAGGAAAGCCTTTGCATGTGACCAAGTCACTGTCATGGATCCCTTCCCTGACCAAACGCAAGAGCCCATCTAACCACCCAGCCCTGGGAGGTGGTTGCGGCTGACCAGCCTGGCTCCAGAGTCCACTTTCCTCCCTCCAAACTCAGAACTGTGCTAACTGGAAGGAACCCAGCACACTTATTCTGGGGGAAATGGGGCTCACACTGGGCCTCAGAGCATGGGTAGGCCTTCAGCAGGCAGAGATGCGAGGGAAGGACATTAAGTATGCGAACACGCAAAAATAGCACATCCCAGGCAGCAGCAAAGGAAAGCCCATCACGGAGAAGAGGGAGTGGCAGAGGATAGACCAAAAGTCACACCCCAAGGCCAGGCCCTGGACATGGGGAGGGGTCAAAAGATTGAACAAACATAGGAAGTATCAAAATTCCCAGAATCAACAAATTATGCTGGGTTCGAAAATCTTATAAGGGGCTGGAGGGACCTCATCAAGTAGAACCTCAACCACTTGGAGTATGCATCGCCTCTCAAGAACCCTCATAGTCCAGGTGCTTAATGAATTAATTAAACACATTGGCCTAACCTCGTTCTCTCAGAGCTGGGTTTGAATCTTTTTGCATTTGTGGAAAAGGGAACAGGAAGAGGGCTCAGAATCATGGTTCCTGTATTAATTTGCTAGGGCTGCAGTAATAAAGTGAGCAACTTAAACAACAGACATTTGTGTTTCACAGTTCTGGAAACCGGGATCAAGATGTTGGTCGGATTGGTTGATTCTGAGGGCTGTGAGGGAGACTTTGTTCCAGGCTTCTCCTCCGGCTTCCTGGTGATCTTTGGCAGTCATTGGCCTGTGGACACATCACCCCAGTCTCCGCCTTCATGTTCACATAAAGTTCTCCCTGTGTGGGTGACTGTCTCTGTGTCTAAACTTCCCCTTTTTATAAGGACACAGTCATACTGGATTAGGGCCCGTTCCGATGACATCTTAATTTGATCACCTGCAAAGACCCTTTTTCCAATAAGGTTACATTCATAGGTATTGGGCAGGGGCACAGTGCAACCCATGACAGTCCTCAGATGTGCTGTGTAGATTGCCAACCCCCACCTTCATGTCCCATCAACAACACAGACAGGAAGTCAAAGATGGTTTTTCAGGATCCTTCCAGATCCCATCCTTTGTCTGCCACAGAGGCAACCACGGTTTGTATACTCAGAACACCCGAGAAGTGATGGCCTCTGTGTCGAGAGTAACGGAGAGTAGCCAAGGCATCTGCCCTGCTTTCTGGGCAGATACTCTGCTCCCATGGGCACACACTCTCAGGTGAGAGAAGGACCTAGCTCACAGCATGTGTTCCAGACATCTGAAGAGGAAACTCCAAAACTACTTTGCACACCCTTGTATGTGTGTATGTGCGCGCGTGTGTGGGGTGGTTAGCTATAGTTGAAATAATACTATTAAGACATTTTCCAAAATTTGTAATGGACATTTTTAAAGATTTATGATATATTAGTGAAAGAAAGCACAATATGAAATTTACGTATGGTTTGATTTCAAACACACATACATTTTTAACAGTTTTATTGAGCTATAATTCACATACCATATAATCCACCCATTTAAAGTCTGCTGTTCCCTATCCATGAAGTTGTCCGTATTGACTTTTACTCTATCCATGAAGTTGTGCAACCATCACCATAATCAACTGCAGAACATTTCACCACCCTGAAAAGAAACCCCATACCCCTCAGTCATCATCCTCCAAACCCCGTCCTCCCTGTCCCCAGCTCTAGATAACCATGGATCTGTCTTCAGTCTCTATAGTTTCCCTCTATACCTACATTTCATTCAACTGTATATTTTTTTTAAGTTAGAAAAAAAATTGCAGGGAACTACAGATCAGACAGAGGATGACTTTTCACCAGTGCCTAGCAGAATTATAATTTTAACCCCTTTATTTTCAGTATTTTTCTAAGTATACAATGAGCATGAATTGCTAATCAGAGGGGAAAAAACATTTTATTTTAAAAATAAAAAGAACTCTCTTGTCATATTTAAGTAGTCCTTATGGATTATTCTGAAACCTTCTCCAAAATCTAAATCACAACCTTATTTTATGGGGGGAAAAATGTGTCCAAGCTCCAAACAACTGACTTCAAACAGCAACTTTAGAACACAGTTGTTGGATGTGGAAATGCTTGTATCACACTAGTTTGCTCTGCATTAGGTTTCCTAAGACCCAGCCCCCACCAGCCTTGTGTCCCGCTCCTCAGGGTCTTCCCATCCTTAATCAGGTGACCTCTTTCAGCCTTCAACAAATTGTTGCTTGTCTCAGGTGAAAGGCCCTGTAATTAAACCACATCCTTTTGCCTCTTTAATAACATTGGAGACAGAGTATAATTCTGTGAGGGGACGGAAGAAATATATAATTTAGTGTCCTTTTCCTGAGCCAGTACGAACTTCGTGCATGTAGTGTCTTGCACGCTTCAGGTGTAAAAAGTGATCTGTTGTCTCAGCAAATGTGTTATGTGAGCACAATGCATACTGAGTCCATCTAAAAGTCAGAGGCTCTATGTAGCCTCTGTGGATCTGTGTCTAGCATACTTGGGAGTTCTATATGTCACCTTCCCTTGATGAATAGACTTTACACTGGAGGGAAACTAGCTTAGCTGGGTTAGTTCATGAGACAAACTGGTCCTGGCCACTACCACAGAAACTCATCTGTTGCCTTAGCTAGAAACCTGGGCTTCTTCCTTGACTCACCTCATTCCCTCTGTGCCTCATCACATCAACTCAGACTGGCCTCCTCTCTGGGCCGTAATCTCTCTGATTGGCCTCCTCTTCTCAATCCCCTCCCCAACTGCCCTGCACAGTACTCACCAGGGCAAAGGTAGCAGCTCCTCAGTGGTGGCCTCCTTCTTGCCCCCTCCTGTCCTTATACTCTGGCACGACTAATGAAGTTCATCCTCCACATGCACTGACGGCACGTCGTGATCTCACACCCTTACTCAGCCAGTCTCGCCACCCGCCAGTGCTCCCCATGTATCCAAGTTTCTACCCCATCAGACCCCCATATTCCCTGGTACGTTACAGCCCCATCCATGGGTTCTTAATCTGAGTTCTGTGGACAGAATACTAGAGGACATGTGAGTGTCCTTAACATAGAATACCTAACTGTGTTGGGGGGGAGGGAGTGTATTTCTAGGAGGACAGTTCTTGGCTTTCATAAAAATTCTTCAAGATGATCTATGAATCCCCAGATTTAAGAACTGTGTTCTGGGTGTTCGAATATGTTCTTCCCCTTTTGTATAGTTTCTCACCTTTCCACCCTGGTCAACAGCTCCTAAGAGCCACTCAAACATCGCCTACTTTCCTGCTTGATGTCCCTTTCTCTGCATCCCCATGCCTTTGCTTACCTAGCACTCTCCCAGCTGGGGTTTCATCACTTCTTTGCATACCTCTTGTCCCTACTGGCCCACGTGCTCCTAAGGCTGGGGGCTGTCCCTTTCTGCCCCACCTCCCCTACAGTGTCCAGTACACAGTCAGCTCTTAGTAAAATACTGGCAGAGGAAGGAAAGAGACCAGGAAGGTGCTGGGCCATTTTCTCTACGGAAGGCCTACACTCAGTTGGGTGATAAGACAGAGTAGCTAATGGCTTCTTCTCACAGTGCTGCCCCTGACTTACGCACCTGTAGGAGCTGGGCCCTCATGGGTCATCTTCCTTTTGTGTTTGCAGACATTTCCTCTAAGAGGTGGAAGGCCCAGCTGTCCAGTATTTACATGGAGAAGTCAGACTTCCAATTGTTGTGGGAACTTACTAGATGTGTAATGATTTTTAAATTACCTCTTGACAAATTTTGAGCTCTTTGCTTTTTTTGTTCCATTCCCTTTCAGATTGACGCACTGAGTAAAAGAAGCAAAGAAGCTGAGGCAGCCTTCTTGAATGTCTACAAAAGATTGATTGATGTTCCAGGTAAGCCCGTGCACTCATTCATAACCCATCAGTGGGCATTGTGTCTGGAGAGTTGTTTGGTTCCACACTTTCCTAAGGGAATTACACCATCAATGGCAACTTCCCCATGAAGCCGAGTTCTAGGAATGTGATTTCTCTAATACCCAGCCTTTGGGTAGGTATGAAAATTAGAGGCACTTTTGTTAAAGTCATCACATAACCTCTAGTTAATGCTTTTGCAAATGCAGAAACTCACATCTGTGGGGCTACCTTTGGTTTTGGTATAAAATGCTGCTCATTTCACAGCAAAGGAAATAGAATCTGTGTGTGTGCTCTGCAGACGTGGATGTCCATGGTTCTGGACTGACTGACACCACATTCAGAAACAGCCCTAATAGGGTACCTAGAATGCCACACTCCCCTCCCACGTCATCCAGGGAAGCAGTGACCTCTGGCCAAGTCTTTCACTTAAGCTTTATAGCCAAGGGCAAGTGGTAGCCCAATTAGCTACAACCAAGTAGGTAGATTACTGACATTACTAGAACTACTTTAACAAAGCAAAGCAGAAACAGGTCTGAACTTGCATTCTAATTCAGGTCCATTATGGGCTTTTCTGTCCCCTCTGGGAGCTGGGATTAATAGCGGCCACCCCAAGCAACAAGCAACAGAAAGGACAGGGAGTAGGGAGGGTCAGATTCTCTTGCCAGGGCCTTGCTGTGTGGTCTTTATCACGTTCCTTTTCCTTTCTGAACTTCAATTTTCTCATCTTTGAAATGGAAGAGTGTAGGGGAACAGCCTAGTGATGGAGAATGGTTTTCTTCTAAATTTTTCCTGTTGTAGGAGCTTATCTAGCACTTGGTTCCAAATTCTGGCCTTTTGACTTCCTGCAAGAGTTTGTAACAATTAAGGGTTCCCTAAAGACTGACCAAGGCTCATGAGGAGGCTTCTTCACAGCAAATGGGTCTTTTGATGTCCAGGATGCATTCTTTCTCAAGTACTGGCACCTTGATGGTCCCACTGGTGTGACCTTGTACAAATGCAGGTTTTGTGTTGGTGACTTAGTTGAAAGTGGTCTGGTTTATTTCATCTATGCCAAAGACCTAGAATGCCTTCAACTGCTCTGTTCTAAATAATCTACACTCCTTTTTGAAAATCCAGTTTTTACCTATGTTTTCCCATAGTGAATTTCTCAGCTGGGCAGCCACTTTAATAAATTGTTGGGTTTCTTTTTCTGCAATAATTTTCCATTCTAATTTACCATAGGAAAAGACAAGACCATTTTTTCCATCAACGCTCTTCTCCTAAGCAGACCTAATTCATGCACATGTATAATTTTTATAGTGTTTTTTATCATAATATGGTCACATATTTACATTCTGCTGTTTTCACTTAACATTACACCATTAGCATTTTCCCCCCATATTGGTGATATTCTCTGTAATTACCATTTTTGCCTGGAAAAATAAAGTTTGCAGTTTCAATTTAAGATGGTGGGAGCAAATAACATTTACTGTTTTCTATAATAATAAAAGTCAGAGTCCATCTGCATGCCACATAGATCACTTTTACCCACATCCCAGGTACTTCTTTCTCACAAATGCTGTGGTCTGACAGTTCAAACAAGTTCCTCGTGAAGCTTGGAGCATTCCACCTGCGTTTTGAAGTCTTACTGCTCAGATGAAGTAATGCTGCGGCTGAGGTTTACAGGAAGGGCCTGGTCAATAGCGTTGCATTTACTGACAGTCACACAGTTGTGGGGAGTCAGGTGCCTTAACTGTCTGTGTGCTTCAGACTTCAGTCCCGCCAAACCCAGAAACATTGATGGGGTGCATTAAGTCTTCTAGTTTCAAGAAACACCAACTCCCCACTCTCTCAGAGAACTACAGGAAGCTCTTAGGAATAGAGAGACCAGTATTTCAGCTCTGTGCCATGTGGCCCAGCTCCAAGAGCCCAGGAAGAGCCAGAGCCAGAGTCCCATTGTTCTTGGAGACTGTCAGAGAAACCTGACTGAACTAGTCCCCACTTGCTGCCCTTCCAGAAATTTTATTTGCTGCCCTTCCAGAGATTTTATTGTTTCTTACTTACTGGTCCTACCAGAATGAAAACTCCTTGAGGGCAGCCTGGGTTCATCACTCTGTGCCTGGCACCAGGAGCAGGGCCTGGCGTGCTGTGGGTGTGGCATGTTGAACAACCCAAGGAATCTGGCAACCCAAAGCCACCCTGGAGTCCTCCATAGCAGAGTTCACAAAAGGTTGTGTTAATAGCTCTTGAAAGCTTTATCTCTGTCTGGTTCTCACTTTTGAGTGTCAGCTTTCATATCCTGCAGCCTCCTGGGCATATCCCCTGGGATGGCTGATGGCACCCTGAAACCACCCTGTGTGTCCAGAGGAAACCGTCTTCCTCCTGAGCTCTTCTCTTAGGGAGCAGCACCACCTTCTGCCAGCTGCTCACACCAAACACTGAGTCACCAAGTCCTGGCCATCCTGTCTCCAGAATGTTCTCGATTCCATCCACTTCTCTCCATCCCAGCTTCTGCCCTCCACAGTTCAGGCCACCCCTCTCACTCTACAGCATTGTGATGCGAGGCTTCCTGCTTATAGGATTGCCTCCTGCTAATGCATTCTCCATCCAAACTGCCAGCAGGCCACACCCCTTCTCAACCCAGCTCATCTTACTCCTGCAGATTAACTTGTTGAGATGCTGCTTCCTGACCTCCCAGGTTCAGCTCAGGTGTGCCCTTCTCAGATTAATGCTCCCCTCCCAGCAGCCTGTTTCCCTGTGTAACTACTTGGGATTCATCTGTCTTCCTTTCTGGCTGGGCAGAGTGACTAGGGCAATGCGGTCTTGACTCTACTTATCTCCCTAGTGTCTACCCCAGTGCCTGCCATGTAGCGGAAACTCCATAAATATTTGTCAAATGAATGAATGGATCAAATTATTTCTTCAAATGCTTTCTGAGATTTTGGGGGTCTCAGGTTTTAATTGTTCACATTGAACTATACTCCAGAGGTTGACACTTTGCATTGAGGGAGAGCACGCTCAAGCATTCTAACAACCGAAATGGCAAGAGAACAGAATGTGTCTTTTATTGAGTTGGAGCCATTTAATAACTCTCTGAACTGTCATTTTGCTTGTTGTCACTCTAAAGATTTACCTGCCTACACAGACATTTATATGACACCTAGCATTTGGGGTTCATCAAACCAACACATGTGCTTCAGAGGCCTTGGGTTTTGTGGCTGGTACCGACGTCCAAAGTCTGTGTTTGGTTTAGCAGCTGTCCTGCTGGCTTACCAAGCCTTATACGTCCGGCACCAAGCGCAGGATCTCCTTCTACCCCAGCCCATTCCCCTCCTGCCCTCCTCTCCTTCAGTGGTGTGACTCAGCTGTCCAAGGAAGAAGCAGCATCAGAGTTATTCCATCTCTTCCCCCTTCTTCATCTTCCAAACCCAATATCCCAAGAAATATTATTTTTCCTTCCGAAAGCTCCTTCTTATTTAAAGATACTGAATAAACGTTTACATACATACTCATCCTGATAAGTCCTCTGAACAGTCAAAATAATTAAGATCCCATGTATATGTTCTTTTTCATTTGCTACCAGATTGCTCTGCATTCCCTAGTTAATTTTAGGGTGTTTTAAGATGCTTTTTATCACAAATACACTGCTACTTTAGCCAAAGCACACACTCCCTCTACACTGCTGTGACCCTCATTCCCTGGGATTTCTCAGTCAGTACCTTCCCTGCCGCCCCCTCGCTCTGTCTCAGGAACCATGCTGAGCTGCAGGATAGAGCACTGAACAAATCAGCCAGATAACTTCCTGTTCTCATGGACTTTAGAATCTGATGGGAATGTGGACATTAACAAGTAACTGTACAAGTAATTATTGAATTTTAGGTGTAGTTAAGTGCTTGCAAGGCAGAGTCCACTGGGCATAAGAGTATAGAATGGGTAGGACTGGGCAGGCTCAGAGGCAGGTGCCCTGGGGCAGTGAGCTTAGTGAGCAAGAAAAGAAGAAGTCAGGGAGGAGAGTGGCCAGGCACTGTATCTTCCAAGCCAAGGCACTGTCGGTAGTCAAGGGGGCACTGTTAGTAGGACACCTGAGTAAAGGGTATATGCCAGTGTGGTCACCTAGCTACAAAGACAGGTAGGCAGTTGGTAGGTTATGTGAAGGATTCTGGACTTTAACAGACAAATCATGAATGAGTTTTAAGCAGGGAAGTAACATGATCAGGTATGTGTAATAAAAAAGTCATCCTGGCTGTAATTTAGACAACAGATTTGGAAAGGGGACCAAGGTGATGTGGGAAGGGAGAGATGAGGTCACTTGGTTTCAAGTGGCCAGGGTGAAGTTGGAGAGAAATGGATGGATTTCAGCTGTACGTAGGAGACAGAATGGATGGTTGAAGGGTAACTAGGGCAGCTTTAGCCCAGAACTCAAATAACATAGCATTATTTCCTTCATTTCTGGATAACAATTCTTGTTCACCTGGTTTACTTGTTTACGTGGCTTACATAATTATAAGGAAGACCAATAAAAAGTTTGGAGAATTAGCCTCCTGTTCCTAATTCTCTTATCTCTAATTGTTCTAACTGAAAATGTTCTTTGCCTTCATTGTCAACAGGATAGCAATAGGAGAGTAGTTTTGGATTCATTAATAAGTTAGAATTTTACGTTATTATTCTAGATGGCGTCATCTGTCAGTTTTATCACAAGCATATTTTTATATCATAATGTATATGATCAATAGAGAGAGTTTAAACTTTCAAACATTTACATTTTTATTTTTAATACACCTCTGATTGAGATTTATATTTATTAATTTGCTAACAGTTAGCCATGAGGAAAAGCAGTGTAGCCACCTGCCAACAACATGACTTGGTAGGGACACCTGGGTGAGGCCCCCCAGATGGGGAGTTCCTCTAATCAGGAGGTCAGTGTCCTTCTGCATTGGAATCTATATTTGTGGATAAGAGCAAGAGTTCAGTGGTTATCTGTCAACAATAGCGATGCCAGG